CCATCAGTTTGCTTTTGGCCTAAAATTTGGGGTTAAAAACGAAGTCATGGGAAAAAAAATTTTTCCTTTTTTTTTTTTTCCTTTTTTTTTTTTCTTTTCCATACAGTATGGAATCTTTTGCCTTGGTGCCTTGCTCGCAAACCACCTCAAATGTCACACATTGCTCCCAGCAGATAGACTTTTCTCAAGGTATCACTAGAAACCAAGGCACAAAACCATCATTCCCTCCCTTTATCTGTAACTTTCGAGCCTTCTCGATTCTGCTGCAACACATGAACAACCTCCTAAAACCGATGTCTGCGCAGTTAAAATGGCTTCTCTGTCACTTACCACCCTGAGCTTGCAGCAGCGCAGGGCAGGAATCCGTTTGGATTGTGCCCCCAGATTTCTGATCGCCTAGATCATCAGGAGAGATGGCTCTGGGAACCTATGGAGCTTCATTTTCTTTACCGTTCAAACAACTAATTACCCTTTAGCCAGAATCCTTCACCTTTCTTTCGATGCAGCAAGCCTAGCATCAATTAAATTTTGGCGCAGGAGCCAACTGGTTTCAACTAATTCAAGTTCAAAGACATGGCGACGATTTGTTAATACGAAAACAGCCCTTTTAGGAAACAGTCCCTTAAAAAGCGACCTAATTTTGGAAATGTGAGACCAATATCGCAGTAGAGACCCCGCTGGACTATGGCAGAGCTGGGGGTCCCCGCCTGCCAGAGGATTTTAATCCCGGGTCGGTTCCTCGGTTCCCAGCCCAGCTCGGAGCATTACATACATCTTATCTTCCCCACCATCACCTTTTTTTTTTTTTTTTTTTTTTTTTTGTTCCCTCACGCCGATTAAATAGCATCGAAACATAAATGCACATCATGTACTGGAAAGCTTCTTTCTAATCTGAACTTTTTTCTTCCTTCTTTCCTCCCCTTCCTCCCTCCCTCCCCCCCCCTCCCCTTTTTTTTTTTTTTTTTTTTTTTTTTGTTCCCTCACGCCGATTAAATAGCATCGAAACATAAATGCACATCATGTACACAGTCAGGCGAATACTTTACCGTTAGGCGTCTTGAAACATCTGCAACCGTTGCCTGGAATTGCCAAGTATTCGGGTCCAAGTGACATTTCCAAAAGCCCTCCGTGGAAATTAAGGCGACTTGCATAACATTCAGGTTTAAAAATATACCCGGTCCGGTTGGAGAAGATGCGGTATTTTTGTGCCACCCAAGATAAGACACTAACTTGACCTTAACTTTGTTATGGCGCCCCTAGTATCTGGAGAACGTGAACAGACACTGTCTGGCAGCTCTCGTAAAAACCGACTGGAGAAGAGATTCTGAGTCATTTCATTTATTGCCACTACAGTTCTGCAAGAAAGCTTTTCCTCCCTGCCAAACTTTAATTATTTATGCTCTTTTAGGAAGCACAAAGGCATCCAGAGCCATTCCCAACAAGCCGAGTTGCGTTTGCAGCCTTATCAAACGAGGAGGAATGGAGAGCCCCCTCGGAAGGGCTTTATCACGCTTAGGCTGCGGTCGGAATGCAAAGATAAGATGTTTATGTTGGAGTAAATAAAGGGATGGATGGTCGCCTGCATCCTGCGGGGGGACGCGGGCGTGGGTGCAGCAGGCGGGTGCCCGCCGCTCCCCCTCCCCCCTCCTCGCACCCCTCCCTGCGCCCACAAAGCCCGGGCAGGGGGCGAAACACAGCTGGGAGGACACCCGAAATAATCCAGCCGGAGGGCGCAGGGTACATCCACCTCACTCGGGTGCATCTCCTGCACGCCCACCCGGCGTGCCGCACACGCGTGTGCGCACATGTGCCCACGGGGCGGCTCAGGCGGGCGTGGGCAGGCAGAGCCGCGCAGGCAGGGTGCGCAGGGAGGGCGCGCAGGCAGAGCCGCGCAAGGGCAGGGCGCGCCCCGTCTCCGCAGCTCTGCCCCACGAGTGTGTGCCTCCCCAAACGCCCGCAACGCTGAGACGTGGAGGGTGGGCACGCGTGAAATCATGCACCATTTTCTCCCGCCTGTGTGTCTATGCTCAGGGTGCGCCCGCAAGTGTGTGCGGCTGTGTGTGTCCGCACACGGGGTTACACACAACGGGGGCTGCGGGAATGGGTGCGCCTGTCCATGGACACGCACATACACACGTACCTAACACACACACTTTCACATCACATTGTCATTGAGATCCTACCTCCTCTGCTTTTATTCCTTTCGTGGGCGATTTAGACTAGACGCTTCGCATTAAGGTGTCGTCGTGGATCAGATACGTTTAATAAATAACCCATTGCCTTTCACATCTTTTCACCCGAGGTTCCTCTTCGGATTCCACATCATCCGTGTAATAAAGGGACTGGTTGTAATGGGGTGGGTTAGGACAGGAAAGGACGGCATTAAGGGTGCATTTCTCACGGACTGTAGCCGGCTGAATAGTATTCCAGGAGGGAATAAGAAAAGGGGCTTTATCTAGTTTTTCCTTTTCTCCTGGCTTGCATCGTTGGGGTTGCTTCTAGTTTTTTTAATTAGGGAAATGCTACTGAATTAAGCGACTTTTATTGTCCGCAATGCGCCAGCCCCAGCAGAGGGGCTGCACGCCTGGAAGGTTTGGAGGGACCCAGGGGTGGTGCCTCTGGCTGTAGGTGTCTAAGGTGTGCATCCCGCTCCCTCGGGGAGCCTCACCCGTCGCTGCTTCGCCCCCGCTGTTCCCCGGGCAGAGTCACCCCCCATGAGCGAGGTAGGTTTTTGTCTGCGTCAGGCAATGCAGTGAGAGTGGTCACTCTGGACGGCGAGAAATGCGCCTCCAAGTTGGGCTGGTTTTCCTTCTCCCTCCCGAAACATCACCCCAGCGTTACCTTTGGGGACCTCTGGAAAGCTTTCGGGAAGATGGCTGCATTTCTGCCCTCCTAGAAATCCGGCATTTGCCTCCAAAATCATCTGGACCACTGTGCCCTCGCGAGCAGTGCTTGCAAGCGAAGGAGCGGGTAGGAGCGAAGTTCAAATATGTCTCTTTATGAAATAATGAGTTTATTGCCTTCAGGAAGGCAATAGCCCCATGGAAATAGGTGGTTGCTTTGTGCCGTTCCTTGGGGTTGTTTAGCTTTGTCGGATACGCCCCGAACAACCATATCTGAGCCTATTTTAGATACCAGAAAATAACGCAGGCTCCGCCAGCGTAATTATTATTACTGTTGGGAGAGGCAACCCAAGGTTTCGCGGGTGGAAACGCCTCTTCATTGGAAACAGATTTAGGTGGCGATTGCAGCCAAAAGGCGTTTTAATCCGGACCTAAAATTCCGTGAGAATTTCTTTTTTTATTTTAATGTTCTGGAGAATCAGCCCAAGGCAATATTTCGCATTTCCCCAGGCTCTGCTCCGGCCAGCCCCGCTGCTCGGGTGCTGCAGGGGCCGGCTGGCGGCTCCCGGCAGAGAAAGCCTGTCAGCAAGATGCGGGGGAAATCGATTTCATTCTCCTCCTAAAACAATAATCAGACGGCTTGGGCAAGGCTCCCAGCCCCTCTGCTTGCTTCATCCTCTGAGGTTTGTATCTGGGCAAAAAGCTGCAAGCGTGAGTCCCCCCCCCCTCCACCTTCCTTCCCTCATAAAAACCTCTGCGGAAACGGCCATGGGGACGGTCTCACAAAATAATCAAACCCACCAAAGCCTCCGGGCTCTCCCCTCTCCTGCGCCTGCAGCACCTCGCTGTGTGTCTGTGGGGGGGCCCTGCTCCCCCCAGCCCTGCCTCAGCCCCTGCCCCGGCCCCGGCCCCAGCCCCGGCCCTCCGCGGCCTCGGCACCGCCCGCTCTCTCTCCTCCGCCGGTTTGTTTGGGGCCGCTCTTGGACAAGGCCAAAGTCAGCGGCGCTGGAAGGGCAGGGCCCGGCCCGGCCACCTGGGGCGGCGGCGGCACCGCCCGCACCGTCCCCGCCGCCGTGAGACCCCGCGCTCCCCCGGGGCCCGGCGGGCGG